CTTGCCATGTCACTTCCTGCCTGGATCATCACTTCTCTACTACATTTCCCAGAATCCTCTTTGAATCCTAGTCCTTGCTTGCCATTGGCCAAACAGTATTTTATTCAACAATCAATAAGATAAACATACAAAGAAGTACATTCCCCATCATCTTCCCCCATCAATCAGTAATTGAGAAAATGCCCTGCAGCCTAATCTTATGGAGGCATTTTCTTAATTGAGGTTCCCTCCTCTCACATAGCTGTAGCTTCTGTCAAGCTGACATAAAACTAGCCAGCACAGTATGGTTCATCAAACCACTATTGTATCAGTTTCAATCTCTCATTCAAAGTCTTCTGATAAATTACAAACCTGACCAGAGAGACAAAGTCCTCCTTCGGTCAACAAAAACAGTCACCAACTATCAGAGTAATAGATCTGGAACCAGCAAATTATCTACCAAGTCAGTGTGTATTCCTAGGTCACTGGGAAGATATAATGTGTGGACTCCTGAGTCTCTAAAACTCAGCCCAATATGATCATCTCTGACTATGGCACATTCAGGGGTTGAGGGTGAGATGTGGGAGCGTCAGGAGACTTCTGCATGGAGCAGCAATGCTTAGTGTTACAAGGAAGGCAGGTCAACCTTTCTAGTTTTCAAAGGCAGCAGGAAGGTCAGACGAGAAGAAAAGCAGCAGATATGGATGGGCAGGCACAGGGAGACATGATTGGGGAAAGGGGCAGTAAGAAAGGTAATTGTTGGCATGTGGATAGAAAAGCCCACATCTAGACACTTAGCTACCCAGGACCCAGGCAGTGACAAGTCCCACATTATTATTATCATTATCATTTTTAAATAGTGTATTTTAAAAGTTAAGTGCATAATAAATTTAGTTTTCATAAGTTCAACATTGTTTGCTGTGCACTTACTCACTATGTAAGCCACAGCTTAGTACACTCCTAGAAATTTTGAGATAAACTTCAAGGATTGAATCTTTCTCCAAAATTTCTTTGCAATTTATGCAGACTAACATTCTTTATTTGAAAACAGATTCTTGTCTCATACAATACATCCCAAATACAGCTTCTCCTCCCACTGCTCCTTCCAGTTAATCCATCACCCCCCTTCTCCTACAAGTCCACTCCCCTGTTTTCCTCTTCAGAAAAGAGCAGGCTTCAAAGAGACAACAACCAAACATCACCAAATAAGAATCAGTAAGACAAAGCAAAAGCCCTCATCTCAAGGCTGGGCAAGGCAACCCCCATTGTTAGGAGTCTCACAGAAACACCAAGCTAACAGCTATAACATATACGCAGAGGACCTGGTGCAGACCCATGCAGGCCCTGTGTTTGCCCCTTAAGTCTCTATAAGTCCAGATGAGCTCTGCTTAGTTGATTCAGTGGGCTATGTTCTTCAAGTGTCCTCTAATTCCTACAATCTTTCCTCTCTCGTTTCCATGGGTTTCCCTGATCTCTGAGGGAAGTGACCTAAGAGAGACCTCCAATTTAAACTCTCTTTCTACATAATGTCTGCCTGTGGGTCTCTGTACCCACTCTCATCTGTTGTTGGATGAAGGCACTCTGATGACAACTAGACAAGGTACTGATTTATGGATATAGCAGAATATCATTAGGAATCATTTTGTTGTTGTTGTTGT